ACCTTGATTCTGGTCCCAGCTCTGCCATCGGGTAACTGTATGATTACACCAGGGACTGTTACCTCTCTGTTGCCATGTCTGGAAATGAAAGATTAGACCTGATGAGAGATCCTCGAGCTCTAGGCAGAGCCTGCCAGTCCAGGCAGCCCCCTGGAGGGCAGTGCAGGTGGGCTGCCCCCCTTCCCCACTCATCCCAGGGACTGTGATTCTCAGCCACTTTGACAGCCCAAGAGCAAAGGTGAAGTTTCAGAGAAATAAAAAAGGACCTCAAGGGGGGAAAGGGCGGGGGGAGAATCCCTAGATTAGACAGCCCCTGCCTCTGGCCTCCCCACAGCCTTTTGCTGCCTCCTCCAGCTCAATCTCCACTTCCTAAAAATCATCCCAGAGACTCCCCAAGCTTCCCTTTTTAACAACTCCTGCTGATGGAAAATTCTTCCTCATACCTAATCTAAGTCCATCTGCTGCAATTTCTGTCTATTTTCACTCGCTCAATCCTAACTGGAGATGGAGAACAGCTGGTCGCCATCCTCCATATAACATCCCCTCCAAAACCAAAATCAGTTATTACATCACCCCTCAGTCTGTTTTTCTGCCGGTCTAACATCCACCACTCCTTCGACCCGCCTTCATGGATTCTAGCTCTGAAGCATCGCTGAGCACCATGGCCCACATTGGAGGATGCTCTGCCAGCTCTAAGTCCTTCCGAAGCTGTAGCATCCCAGCAGCATATAGGACTCAGGTGACAAAATCCAGGGAGAAGGTCAGGCAAAGCAGAAAGGGCTCAACTAGTCCAAGCCCCTTGCTTTCCATGTGGGAACTGAAAGACAGAGCAAGGAAGTGCAGCAACCAAGGTCAAATCTGAGGGACCATGCTCCAGGGGTTGGACCCCAAACACTGCCATCACAGTGCCTGAGCGGCTGCAGCGTGTCCTTGACGTGGGAGAGAGGATTCGCCAAAACTGAAAAGCAGAGCTCAGACACTTCCTATCCAAACTCCATCTTTCCAATCCCACCAGCAGATGTGAAATTTCACCATGAACAGCTTTGACTTCCATCAAGAACCCAAATACCTCTGCTGGTGGCAACACTGCTTAACTGTTCACACCTGAGTATGAATAAGTAGATTTGATTCTTTCCAACTCTTGAGAGAGAGATTTGGGGGTGAGATGAGAATAGAAGACAAAGAAACTGGAAAAATGACAAACAAGTTTCATTGCTTGCTAACGCTTTCAAGGTCAATCCTATGCTTGGGTGCTGAGAGTAGTCAGGACGAAGGAGCCAGCAAGGCTGTGCCCTGTGGGAATCCCTTGCACCCTACAGACCTGCCTGTGTGTGGAAACACCTGCCCTGCCGGTCTCATGGAGGGAGCTGCACCACCCCAGGTGCTCTGTGAGGTCTGCGTAGAACTGAACATGGAGAAAGGATTACCTCATTGCTCCCTCAGGGCCGACCCACTGTGCCTCCCAGAATTCCTGAGTCGCCCAGTTAACCAGTTAACCATTTCAGATGTCAGGTGAGCAGGGTCTAAATGGAATCTCACCCCCTAGGGTGCCCTGAAGTGACAGGAAGGAAGAGCCAGAGGGAATGAAGAAAGGAAGGTATACAGGGTGTCTCCCAAAAAATGTACACATACTTGAACAGCTGATAGCTCCATTGATGTTTGTTTCTTTTCGGATTTAACTCATTGGAATTCATAATTCAAAGTGCATATGCATTTTGTGGGGACACCAAGTACCTGTGATTAAACACGATTGTGCGGGTACCTGCTTCAATAGCTCCCACATGGGGAGGGAGAAAGGTATAAGGAAAAGTCAATCCGAGGAACTATGTGCTAATGATTTTCCCAAGTGAAGTCTGAAGGGGAAACAGCAGAGTGTGGTGAATGCATTTCAGAGCCCTCACCCTCTCCTGAATAAACTGAAGCCTCATGCTCCAGCCTCTTCACCTCTCAGGGGTGCTCCGGGCGGTTCCCAACCCCCAGACATACACCCCCTTCCACAGAATAACCCGGGGAGTTCATTCACACACCAAAGCAAACGGAGACATGTGGGCAGCATTTACAAAAACACCTAACACAGTCAACGCCTTATTTGATTTCTCCCAAACCACAAAATTAAATTTTAAAATAGAAATCTAAACGGCTTTCTTCTGATATAAAAAAAAAAAAAATCTACTATGTTTCCAATCCTATTTCAGGGGACAGTTTTCCTCAACAGCAAGATCAGCACAAAATGACAAGATCAAAGCAGGTTGGCAAAGGGATTACTTACTGATGTGTTTGTGATGAAAGGGGATGACAGAAAGGAGGTGGGATGGAGGGAACAGGAATATAAGGAAGGGACTTCTCCTAGCCCGGTAAATCACCCAGGGCTTGAGAAAACAGAAAAAGGTGACCCCTTCACAGCACAGCGGTTAAATGAGAGAAATCCTAGTTGACCAACAGGGGAGAGAAGATGCTAGATCTATGGAGGACGCCTATCCAGGGTCCTGGCTAAAGTGACCATGTTTGATGAAATAACAACTAACAGGTTTAACTTCCCAGACACTCACTGGGCTCTCCATACACAAGCAGGTGCCTACTTCACAACAACTGGCCAGCCTAACACCAACCCCAGCAATGAAACTCTCCAAGCTGGGTCACACAGAGGGGCTGGATCTAGGTGTCACCCAAGGTGAAGTTACAATGATGGCATTTCTGCGTTTTTGTCAATAATTCTCCAGCTCCTATGATGCTTTTTTTAGTCTGAAGTTGTTATTTTAATGATCTCTGATCCAAATGGGGAACTAAAAGGGAAGAGAAATGAGGGGGAAGGAGAGGGAGGCGAGGCAAGCGCTCCAGTGTGTCCCACTTGTGCCTCTGCTCCCTGCCCCCAGCTGCCTTTTCCTCTCTCTGCATGAGTCACCATCCAGAAGCTGCTTTAAAAACCCTACTTTAAATGTACTCTGTCATGAAGGGAACCCAGCAGATCAGCCTCAATGGAGAGGGACCCCAATTTGGTTACCTGTTCCTTCTTCTAGACACCTCGCAAACTCAAAAGTATTTTCTAGTTTTGCAGCTGTCTTCATGGAAACCAAGGTGGCCCCTTTCAAAAGCTCCCACCTGCTGGGTGCTGCCACTCCTGGGCTCTCTGAGTCACCTGCCCCAGACAGACCACAGGGGAGGGGGAGGGGGCTGATTATAACTCGCAGCCGATAAAAGGGCCAGCGTCCACGCCAGGCCCCTGAACACAGCGGCATTAGAACGGTGTTAGAAATTTTGGGACCGCAAGTTTGTTTTGTTTACTGTCAGGCACCATGTGCAGAAGAGAGCTGACTGTATCTTGCTCAGAAAAAAAAAAAAAAAAAGCAGCTTTTTTAAAAAAAAAAAAAAATCATTGTGGGAAGAGCTTTGACAAAACAACTCCCACCCAAAATAGCTGCCTCAAGGAGGTGGCGGAAAACCTGTTGTAGGGGTTAGAGAAAATACAAATTAAAAAGTGAAAGTGATTCATGGAGCCAGAGGGGAGGCTGTCACTCGCACCTCAGCGCAGGAGGCAGGCAGCAGCGAAAGGCCTCACAGGGAAAAGGTGTCGCTGGAGACTCCCTCCCAGAAAGTTCACTTCCTGCCAGGACTGGGGACCAAGTCCCCCAGCTTCACATCTAGGAGAGAAATCAGAGCCAGACAATTCACCTGCATTCCCCAAAGCCTTAGGGACATGGCAGACCAAGCCCAGATGAGGAGCTTCTTGGGAGCTTCGGGGTACCCAGCAGGTCAGGGGACATACCTGGGGGACGGACGGATGTGGGGCATTCAGATAGGAAGTTCATTCAAGACCAAGCACCTCACCTTCTCCCCTGTGGGTGCCTGGCTTCCTAGGAGGCCCGCCTACCTACAACCTCCGTTGGCAGAAGCTCCGATGCTCCGGGAACGGAGTTTTCCCAGGTCTAACAGGGGGTCTGAGCACAGTGAGGCCTGGTGGTCCCAGGATCAGAAAGCACTAGGGTGCCACAAGGCTGAACCAGCTGCTGCCATGCTGAGCTTGCTACTCCAAGAGCAGTCATGGAAGCAGTGTGGTTGGTGGATCCAGCAACTACTGGGCCACAAAGGTTCGCACCTGCCCTCCTGAACAGAGCCTGCCCCAGGACCTGCCCCTCCCACCAGCCTCCACTCCCAGATCTGCTGGCAGGCTTAGCACTGAATAGCCCTTCTCCCATAAGGGTGGAAACGCCGGGTGAAATGTAGTTCTCTCCCCTTCATTTCGGTACACCCCCAAGCCTGGAAAGTCTTCCAGAGTTTTCGGGAGCTAATCATTTAAGTCGTTTCTGTCCTCTGAGAACTGCTTTGCTGTTTTCTCACCAAGTTGTGTGACACACAGACACCCACCAGGTCAAACAGGAGGATACCCACACCCCAGGAAATGTCTCCTTCCCCCCCAATAAAATCAGCGGAGACAGAGTGGGCAAGGGGGGTAAGAGGTAGGAAGGAGACAGAAGTTCCAGGACTCAGGGTGAAGGTCACAACAGTTGAGGGGAGGCAGGTGAAGGTAATGGAGAGGGGGCTGATCCCATGGCGGGGAAAACCCAGCCAACCAAACACGTTTCTCCGAAACAGCCTCCCAGGGCTGGGTCCACCAGGAAGCCCTACCTCTTGGAGGTCCAACTCCCTGCTGGTCTTTGGGGATCACGGAATCTCGGGACAACACCTTCACCCAATAAACCTGAGTCTACACCCAGCCCTGCAGGCGCCCAGCCCCACACCAGAGCTATCTCCACCGACGTGAGCGCAGCTAATTGAGAGGAGTAAACACACCCCGTTCTAGACGGCGCAGAAGTTTTCCACATTGTCAGCTCGTGTCCCTCCCGACCCGAGACGGTGGTGGTTTCCCCCCACCTTGGCCACCTCTCCTCGCCTAAACTTTTCTTTCTGCATTCCCCATGCAGAGGCTGCGCTGCGAGCCCTGGGCTGGGAGGCGCAGGGGGCAGCTCCCGGGGGACGGGGACGGGGACGCAGGCAGGAGGTACCTTTTCCGCGGAGCAGGGGCCGGCCGGTGCCCGGAGGCTCGCTGCCCTGCCTGCCGAGCCGGGGAGGATGCTGCCGGAATGAAGCACGCTGAGGATTACGCGTTCCTGCCTCTGCGACCAGACCTTTCAGCGGCTCCGACCGACTGTGCTAGCGATGCACTTAGCAATTATCTGCTGGCGCCGGCGCCCCGCCCCCCGCTCCTGCCATTGGCTCTGCCGGCCCGGGCAGGACTGCATTGGCTTCCAGCGACCTCACTCACGGCTCTGGCTCCTACTATTATCTAAGCCATCAAAGGGAATAATTCTATGTTTCATTGACAACCTGTAAGGCTTCCCTCCGGCCCCGGTGCGGAGGCAGGACCAGGAGCCCAGGAGCCCGGAGGAGGAGGGCAGAGTAGCAAAGTGGGGGGTGGGGGGAGAAGCAGAGCTCGGGAAGGGGAGGGGAGAGAAGGAGAGGGAGAGAGGGAGTGAGGGAGAGAGAGAGAGATGGAGCTATCAAGCAATCAGATTTTTTGCTCAAGCATTTTAACTTCCACAAAACAGAGTCCATAGCAACAATTTTCTGGCCTTATTCCTCCCCTCCTCCCCCGCCGCCCCAAACAGTGCGTGTTCCTGAGAGCAGGGGGAAATACTGTATAACGCGGGGTTTCGCCTGTGTCAGACACGCTTTGGGAAGCAAAGCAAGGTAAAGGCTGAAGGAATGTAGGGGTGTTGTTCCTGGGGCCACCCTGGAGGGCATGTGAAGGTCATATTAGATTGCATGGGGGACCTAGGATGCACCTTCCCCCCCGGAGTTCATCCTTCTGTTCCTTCTCTCACGCTTCATCTAAGCCCCCGACCTGAGGACCACAGTTTTCCTGTGCAGCCTGTGCAGCCTCAGCCTGTTCTTAAAGCCGGTGAAAGTCTGGGATCCCTCACTGTTCTCCCTGGGAGGCCCAGAGAGGTGGGCGTTCCGGAGAAAATAATTCCACTGGGACCCTCATTCTACTTACTCTGACCGGGCTTCAGCAGCAAAGCTAGGGAGCAGAGGGAATGGGGACAGCCTAAATGTTTTTCCTTGTTCAACAAGGAATCATAAAACACAAGTTTTTACATCCCACCCCCCTTAATGTATTTTTTCACCACATAGGAGGGACATTATTTGGTAACCGAATTTTTTTAATGGAAAAAAAGGAATTTAAAAGGAGTCTTTCAAAGGAATCTTGATATATCAAGTTTCAGGTAAGTCCGATTAAACTAACCTTTCACCCTTCTCCTACTGGGACCTGCACATCCTCGAGTCCCAGCTGTGGTCCCAGGTCCTCCCTGCTGGCCTTGAACAACTGCAATTCTTGTCACTGCCTGCATCCTTGTGAGCAAGGGGCATGTTCTCTCTGCCTTGTCCAGCAAGCTTCTGCTTCCTGCATACACACCTGGCCTCCCTAAATGCATTGCAAGCTCTGTGTATCTTTATCACTCCACCGACAGCACCTAGCCCTCAAACAGTGGGCTGACTACTAAAACCCAATTCAAAGCATGAAGTGTGCAGGGCTCTGAGCCTCATGGAATTATCATTCTGCTGTGATGCTCAGCCAGCTGGGCAGCGGAGAGAGAGGCCCACCCTGGAACCAGGGAGGTAAAAATTCAGGACTAAGCACTGTGACTGCTGCAGCTCGGAAGTCCCTTCGAGCTCCCGGTGCCTTGTTCTCCCTGGAAAATGAAGCTGCTCTTCCCTCAGTGCCATCCTTCTCCCTCACGCATCTGAAGGACATAAAACATTATGTGAGGCATATACTTCAAAAAAAACAAAAAACCAAGTCCCTTCCATCATGGCTTTCCAAATATCACCATGGCTAATGGAAAGTGACCATATATTAGGGGTCAAAAAAAAAAAAAACTAGAAATAAGGGATGTAGCAAAATATGTGTTTCTATTTCATTCATTTGTCTAGCCTAGGGGAAGTTCTTACAAAGATATAATGGTAAAATTAAACTCAGCTGCTCATTTAAAATTGACACCATGCCAGTCATGTCCAGACATGGTATAAAAACCATAGGTAACATTTTTCTGATATGAGCAGTGAGATTTCTTCCACTTCAAGGGAAAGCAGCCTTCACACTTGGACCTTTGTCCCCTCTAGAAAAAAGGAAGTAGAAGAAAGATAAACTAAATTGTAAGGACGCTCTTGAGCACCTATCAAAGGTTCAGTTGGCATCAAGGGAGAAAGGAAAGCATTTCAAGTGAGTTTCTGAAATGCTTTGTCTAAAACAGCATCTTCTTATATATACTTTTTGCCTTCTGAAGATCAGAGAGAAAGAGAGCTGCAAACAGTTGTTTATGGCAGTGCCTTTTAAGCTGCCTGGTCATAAAATATTCTCTTTGAGAGAAGGATGGTGCCTTTGTGTCCCATAGATCATCTGCTTAATTCTGAGCGTTCGAGAAAGCAGACTAAGTATGTAGATTCCGCCTGCTCTTGCACTTGTATTAAATATCAGCTCCCTACAATTTAAATTCATTGGAGTATGAAATATACCAAATTCCATTTTGTGGACATTACCCTGGCAAAGTAGTCCATTTTGATTGAACCACAATTTTAGTGAATGAGCAGTCTAAAAGGTGTGTGGGGGGGTGTCATTTTTATTTTGAGTAATTAAGGAAACAATGGGGGGGAGTATTAAAACACAAATTAAACATCGGCCACTGGAACTGCCATCTTTCTTGAACGTAACCTCGTGCTGCCACAAGTTACCCCGACCTGCAGGGGGAGGCTGGAGAAACCCCATGTTTACTCTTCTGTTTATACCATTTTCTCAGTTATCATTTATTTATGCCAAATTCTGTTCCTAAAAGGGAGAAGGAGGAGAATAAATCTAGTCAATGCCAAGAAAGAAGGAAATGTGTGAAAACAGGAGGGGGGAAAGAGGGCGACTTTCAACACTACATCTTTGCTGACTGAGTTGAGCCACACAGCACCATTTTAGTGAAAAGATGATATTAGCAGGATTTCTTAAAAGTAGCACCAGATGAATGAAAGATTTTTCAGAAAACGTCTCCCAAGTAGAGAGACTTGGAGGAACAGCCTCACGGTTTTCTGTTCTTAGCTGATGGCTGTTGTGAAACTTTATGTGATCTAATTCCCTCCCCCTCCGCCCACCTGCTCCACCCCTCGAGTCAAACCTGTGGAGCCAGTGACATTTCCACTAAGTACAAGAGGGGATTGTGGTTGCCAGGAAGGTGTCAGTCACCATGAACCATTTTTCATGATTTCATTAATTACTAATGAGTCTTCAGTAAGTTGGCATTAAAACAGACAGGGCTTCATGAGGTTTGAACACAGTAGGGAGTGTTTTATTATTTAAAATACCCTGCTAAATAAAAGCAGGTGATTCTCTTGGTTCAGATCATGGTTATATTTATTAGTGAGCCAGAGTTGTGAATAACCTGAAAAGAAAAAGACAGACACAGACAAACAGGTATTTGCAAGTCTAGATTGTCCACTCAAATTCTGTTAAATTATTTATAAGAAATATGGAGCTGTCCCTGGCCCGTGTAGCTCTGTGGTAGAGCATTGGCCTGCACACCCAAAGGTCATGGGTTGGATTCCTTGTCAAGGATATATACCTGGGTTGCAAGTTTGTCTCCCCACTCCTGTCCCCCGTTAGTGTGGGACAGCAACCAATCCATGTGGCTCGCTCACATCAATGTTTAACCTCTCTTTCTCTCTCTCTCTTTCTCTCTCCCCCTCCTCCATCTTCTTCCCTTCCACTCTCTCTAAAATTCAATAGAAAAAATTTCCTCGAGTTATAATTAACAAAAAAGAAAGAAAGAAACATAGAATTGAAAGCTATCATTAAATATTGCCCAGCAATGCACCAGTTGACAAAAGTTGGAGAACTGAATTAAGGTCAGCATGCTTTTCTGAGGCTGGCTTATCACATGTGGCATGAAGCACCTGCAGAATAAAGGTCTGCACACACAAATACAATTGTTGGACCCCCTGCCTGCCAGGACTCATGTCCTAACATAAAAGTCTTCTTGAAAGGATTCAATAAACATGTTTACAAAACCTGCCACCCATCATTTTCTCACTTATAAATCAAAGTAATAATTATTATTTCCAAGGCTATTGAAACAATAATGTGAAATCAACCTACAAAGGACTACACAAATGCCCTTCCACTTGATATTAAGCAACCATGCCTTCCTTGGCATGGACCAACATAATGTGACCTATAACCACTTCACTCCACTAGTCCAGGATGTCAGATCACCTCTCAGAGTGGGACCAGAAAATGCTCAGAGGGGCAGAAAAGATGCTCCAGACACAGGGCACAGCTTCAGAAAATGACGTTTCACATCCTGTTGCCTAAGGAAATTCTCAACCTGTCTGATCTATGCATGCCATTTGCTCCTGGGGTGCAAATGAGTCATCAAAGTGATCTGCTACAAGTCAAAATTTTTTAAAGTATGCATATTTTATTGTTGAAGCCATGCCAAGTTTGTATGCTACAGCAAAAATAAATCTATATTTGTTTTAGTACATGAGTTAAAAAATGATTTGCCCCAAATATCTGTGTAGCTCTGAGTTTCCAGCAAGATGATCCAAATTTATGAATAGTCTGAGGTTTGAGAAACACAAGCCTCAATAAAGTCTGTAGTCGGCTCTCTGCCTCATTTCCAGAGTTAGGTGAAATCTGGCTTCATCCCAACTGTCTAACCTCTTTAAACCTCATCCTCATGAACCGAGTCCCATCACAGCCCTCCTGTGAGCATGCTCATCTGAGCCTCCTGACCTTCCCCCAGCTGCTCCAGTTTCTCCCTCGCACCCTGCCTTCTTCTGATAAGATTGCAGCCATCCTTCAGGACCCAGATTCATCTCTCCTTTCCTCACTACACCTGTTTACCCAGTGTTTCAATTTTACTGTGCGCCACACAAGTTAAAATCAGTTGCTTTTTTTTGTTTGTATTTTATTATTGTTTTCATGTGGCCATTTTCATATCTGCTACTATATGTTAAATTTATTTGTTATTTTTAATACCACCACCACCCAATACTACCACCCTCAAGTCCACAGTGATGCCCTCAGCAGTTAGTACTGGACAAACAGAAATCCCAACAATGAACAGTTAATGACAAAGTGGACAGATGTACTTC